CGGTTTCGGTAAACGCTCGTGCAAACGAGGCGAGCCGGCAGAAGAGGACGGACACGGCTGTCGCGCACCGTCGGATATTAATTTCACGGTATAATCTCTCGTTATAAAAATAAATTACGACCGTGCCGCGGGAGGATTAAGTAACAAAACGTTCCACGGGCCCGGAGCTAACTCGGGCCCGGCCCGCAGGGACATTTCCATGCGGAGACCCGGCCGTGGACGATCCGTTCGATCGGAGGTGTCCGTCGCGCCGGGCCCCGTTGCGCGGCCGAGCCCCCTCGAAGCCGGCCGTACGAGAAAAACGACTATAAATCGCGCGTGTAATGCCGCTATCAACGTGTATTACACAGACGGGCCGCGTTGTTTGATGAATCGCTGGATGCAAATTACCCGCGCGCGTCGATGAGGTCGGCCGGGGAGCGGGCTCGCCGCGGGAACGCGTTTACTGCGGTAATTTCGACTTACCTCGCAAATCTGCGCCGTGGTTAGGCTCGCTGCACACTGTCGGACCGATGGGAACACTTTCCGACGAAATTCGGCGTGAGTCTCGGGGACAAGAAGACGAGAGGAGACAGGGGAACGGATGAACGGAATGAAAGGCAGTAGCGTCGGTGATTGTATTGATAGATTTTTAACACTAGATTTACGGAACCCGTCGATTTTACGGATACCGAACTTTTTAAACGTTATTTAGTAATACTTCGAGTCGGTTTCGATTCGCGCGATTACGCGAACACGCATTGCGATGCTCTAGATCTGAAGCTACTATTTTCTCGATTTATGTAGACGAACGCGTAGTTTTCTGAGAGCAATAGAATAAAGTGTAGAATAAACGAAGGTATAATATTAAATATCAAATTCCATAGTTTCCCTGTATGAAATCCGGTGGTTGCTTGTACAAAACAGTTTCCAACCGAATTCATTAGATGAGTTCGATCGAAGATAATTAAGGAGGTTGTAGTTATAGTTAATACAAATATTGCCATCAGCTATTATTTCTACCGTATTATTCAACGATAATAAGAACTAAGAATTCACCGGTAACATACATTAAATTCTATTCGAAATGTTCACGAGCCTCTGACGATGCTAGGCGAATTCCCTTGAAACGCAGAAAGATTCGATAATATCGAGGAAATATCGAATCGTATTCGCTCCCGAGCGACTCGTACACGACCCGTTGAGCAATGTCCAGGTGGCGCGGGGTCCGACGAAAAATTGAGACGTTTAGTCAATTATCGAACGGCGCGATAACGACGCGTGTTTCGCTCCACGCGATATTTCGGACGGGCCGCGCGTCTCGTCTCGTTCGTTTTCTCGGCCGGGACGGGCCACGGTAGTATATTCGTGTCGTTGGATGTCCGGCCGCGTGTTAACGCGCGATCCCGGGCGCAGATATCGGAGATATATTCCCGGCGATAATCTTGTCGCCAATAAAAATCGCATTTAATAACGCTTTCCCAAGGATGCACGCGGCGCGCTGTAACTTCTGCAACGATCCTCGGCCTTAATAACCAACGTTAACTGGCCGATAACGCCCCGGTTCCGATAGAACCGTGACCGATAAAAAAAAAACACCGTCTACACGTGTACGTACACGTGTACGTGCGTGTGTATGCATGTATGTATGTGTGTTGTATGTGTATATATATATATAATATAATGAAACACCTTTAACGATCGTATCGACGCGACACGCGAGTCGTTCTTAATGGACGAAACTTTCGTTCAGAGGCGGACGCCGCGCAGCGCGTCGCTCGACGGACAGCAATACGAGGACTAAATTTGTCTTTCTTAACCCTTTGTACTCGAGTGGAGACTCTCAGTCTCCGCTTGATTTCCTACAGTGAAGCTATAAAGATATTTAATATTGTACTGAAGTATAATGCATCAATCTGAGAAATGTTGACGTAAAATTGCTTTGTCCGTCGATTCACGTGAATTTCACGAAACATCGTCTTCGTCTCATTAGAAAATGTTGAAATATTTCTAGTGAAAAACTTCGGAGTGCAAAGGGTTAACCCTCGGCACTCCAGATGGTTTTGTAATTTATCAGCAACTGAATTTTCATGGTATCTCCAGTGAAAATGAAAAATGCTGTGACATTTCTTGAATTGTTTTATTTCTGTTTCGTGTATCCTTATTCCACATTTTATTGAATTCTTCATCTCGTCGTTTTGCATTTTCGAAAAAGAGGAAACTACACGCTGATCTCTTCCTATTCGAGTGACTGAATCACTCGTCTGCGACCTAGTCTCCCAAGCGCGAACATTTCATCTCGAAGTGTCGATATTCGTTCGCGAAGGGTCAAGACAAATTCAGTTGGCGTGTTTATGGATGAATGAGAAATCGGGCGATGGGATGAGGAAGAAAAGGGACACTACCGAGTACGTGAAATCGTTTAGATTATACTCGGTATATTAAATATAGTGGTTGGAGCACGTTCTCGCAGGAAACATGAATTTCCACGTAGCATTTCTGTAAGTCGCGCCGCGGATCGAGGGGCGAGAAAGAGACGGAGCGAATTAACTAATTATCGCGTCGCGAAACGAGAAAGTGTGACGCGCGAATCGAACTCGATCGCGATAGGTTTATCTGGCGGTGGTATCATTGCGCGCAACCGTGAGCGCGTCGCGTCTGTGTTGGTACACGGTTCTCGGGTTCCGAAGCCGCGTCGGATCCGGTCGTGCGAGCCTCGAAACACGGTCCGTGGTGCCGAGAGTCTCCGATTCGGCCGCGAACTCTGCTTTCTCGCTTCTTTTTCTTCTGTTCGTTTTTATTTAAAAATCCGACCGACGGCTGCCCCTCAACGCGAGGGAAGACAGAGCGCGCACGCGATTAGCGGGGAGCTCGCGACGCGGAAAGCGGCGGAAAACAGCGTGCAAATTATGCGAGCGGATTAGAACAATATCTTAATTCCACTTCGGAGTTGCTCGAAGAGGAGAAGTTGCGAGATATTCTTGGATCGAATTGAACAGCGACCAATTAAGGATCCAACGGTTGGTTTTCTCGTTAGGAATCGTAGAATAGAATCCAACTGTATTGGTTTATTAATATCGACGGGCTCTTAGATTGTCTTAGGTTATCCGCGAATATTCAAACGTTACGGTTAATATTAGTATAACGGTAATCGACCGGTCTCGGATCAGCTGAATATTAATATTAAAATGTCATCGTTCGTATTAGTGTAATAGTAATCGGTTAATCTCGGATCAACTGAATATTGATATCGCAACGTTATCGTTAGTATAATAATAATCAGCTTCATTAACGCGATCCGCACGGGAATGGGTCGACTGCCATTATCCCGGCCGATTATTCCCGTACAGACGAAAATACCGCGGGAAACGAAATGAAATGAAATACAATCAACCTCGATCCGACGGGGATCCGCTCGAATTCGATTAGAAAGCGAAACTCCGTCCGCCGCGTCCCGCCGCTCTACAATTTCCAGCCGTCGAACGAAGTCCCGCGAGTCGTCGGCGTTCCCACGATTTCCCGGGACGCTCGATCGAAGCGCGAGATCGCGGCGAGGGCTCGCGCGCCGGCTCGGGGAGGCCGAGATTTCCGCGGAAGACCGCGAAGCTATCGACCAGCCGAGATCCGGGGGTGGAATGACGTGTACGCGGGCGACGCGCGTTACGTGTTACGTCGCCGCGACGTTCGACGTTGACGGGTCGCGGAGGCAACGTGCTCCACCTGTGGAGAGTCGGGGAACGGGACGCGGCCACGACACGCCGCGACACGAAACTTGCGGTTTCGCGCCGGGAAAGCCGAGTTCGAATCGAAAGTTGAAGAGTTCACGTGCGAGATACGCGGGAAACTCAGTCGGCCGCGGTGCATTGTTTCGGACAGGTAATCGATACGCGGGTTTTCGCGTTCGACCGAGTTTAGAGCCGATCGCTGGAACACCGCGGACGTTTCGTATGTTTTATTCAGCTCGCCGCGCATTTAGGACTGTTACACTTTCGATGGAAACGGCGTGGAGATGCTATGGACATTGTTGCTTCGAGTCGACCCTTTGTACTTTGAATTTTTTTCCCATTTCTTCCTCGATAACTCTGTTGTTACGATATTTCAGTTGAAACGCGCTTGGAGAATAGCTTGTAGAGAGCAGTGTAAACGATTCTCAGCACACCGGTGAATAACTGACGTCGAGTCACGCTCGACGTGGTGCGCAAGGGGTCGAAAGATATGCAGATCGCAGGTAGAACGTTGGTTTACTCTTTAATTCAATTTTCTTGGTACATTGTAACGAGGATTCACTCAGTTCTGAATATCGCGGAGAAGGTTGAAGAGAATGAATGCTAATCGTAACTAATTAGAACCGGCAACTATTCTTAACGATTCTTCCATTGTCGATCGTCGAGCTTTATAGTAATCTTAACCATGGAGCGTAGAATGTTTCCCTTTCTACTGTACTATCACCGATAAAATTCTCCCGACGATCAGAATTGCGAAAGAAATCGCAAAGTAAAGGGTCAGCGACGATCCACGAGCGCCAGGCTTGCATTACAGAGAGACTGGTGACTACCGTGGCACTCGGTAAAAGCCGAAACAACGTGTTCTCGGAAGTTCGGTGCGCGTTGTTTCGGCCGGAATGATTTATCCGTTCGAAATTAGTCGCGGATACCTGTTGCAAAGCGTGCGGGAACGATGTCGAAACCAGCTGGCGGCCTCCCGACGCGGCGCAATGCAAATCGTGGTATTATCTTCGTTTTGTTGTCGATTATTAGATAAGTAATGATAAGTGGGATCGTGCTCGAACTAAACGAAACGAAACGAAACGAAACGAAACGAAACGAAAGGAAACGAAGCGAAGGAATGATCGCTGGCAAGACTTATTGCACGTCGTCGCCTGTTAACGTACGGAACTCGAACAGGATTTATACGTCGCTTCCGCCTATTTCCCCCGAGACTCTTAATTAAGACTTTATAAATCACTGATCGGCGTACCGTCTATCGTCTCAAGCTTTTCCCGTGGCGTTCTCCTTTTTCAGATCGTGCTGAACTCGATGCACCGGTACCAGCCGAGGATACATTTGGTCCGGTGCCGGCAGGCCGACGACAACAACCTTCACATCACCGACCTGCAGAAGGAGGAGCACAAGACCTTCATTTTCCCCGAGGCGATCTTCACCGCGGTGACGGCCTATCAGAATCAGCTGGTGAGACGCTCGTTTCGATCCGCGTTACGAACCTCGATTAGCCTATTTAACCACCTGCGCCGGACACACGTTCGGAGATTCGGGCAAGTTTTGCGCGGAGAGTCTGATTTTCATCGATTTCACGCGGACGCGCGCGTTGATTTTGCTTATTAACATATTTCGCTTAGCGTCTTATCGGAGAATCTCGGTTTCATCCGAAGACGCTTAGCCATGGAACTTCGCCAATTACCACGGCATCGAACGGAATATTAAAATTCATTCGAATTGATTATCTGTTTATAGTTAAGTTGGATCAGCTTAATCAATTGAGCTGATCTCAGTGAAAATTGCCATCCGCGTAATCAAGTTTTCGAGAAATTAGCCATCTGTCGTTCCTGTTATGTTAACCAGCGTACGAAATTAATACTTGCGTTATTTTCGACTGGTAACTTCAATTATTAATCTGTTCCTCTATTAATATTCTTAGTGTCACTCGCGGAATTGAGTAGATAATTATTGAGTACGTGAATAATCGAAATATCGGGCGATTTAGCTGGCGCTAATTCTTGCAACTGTAATTTCGTGGATTCCTTATCGAGGAATTAACGAAATTCCTCAAAATTGAACGATTACCGAGCCCGTGCCGATCGTGTTGCAGATCACCAAGCTGAAGATCGACAGCAACCCGTTCGCCAAAGGTTTCCGGGACTCGTCCAGGCTGACGGATTTCGATCGGTAGGTATACAATACTAAAGAAACCGAAGCGATCCCGTGAATCTCTCGAAGATCTCAACTCTTTGCGCCAATAATCGTTTTCCTAATTTATTCTCGATCAACTGTCACTTCATTAAAATTTTTAGTCTGAAAACAGTGTTGTCGCGAAGACGGCCTCGCGGGGCAAAGGGTTGAGCAACCCGACAGGTCCAGAGGATCTTGAAAAATTCGAAACCTCGAAACTTTGAAATACCTCGTTCGATATGACTTAAAATATTTCGAAATCTCGGATCTCCTAAATGTTTCAATAACTCTCAGAAATCTCGAGGAGACTCGGAATTTGAGAAACTTCGTTTCAGTCTTCTGCAAACCTCGATCGTTCCGATCGTCCCAATTTTCTTCGAACTCCCATCGCATCGATCATCTCGAACCTGGATCGCTTCAATCATTCCAATTCTCAAACTTCACTCGTCTGAAACCCCGATCATCCCAATAATTCCAGTCCTCTCCAAACTGTGGATCATTTCAACCCTTCCCAAATATTTTAAATATTTCCATCGTAAAACCGCGCACGCGTCGATCGTCGATCCGATTCCACGCGGTTCGTGACGCGAGCCGCGCGTTTAGACGAAACGGTCCCGGCGGATCATTACGCGCCATTATAACGTCGGCACCTTAATCATAGCGCCGGCCGAATTATCGCGCGATCTCTTAGATCTCGTTAAATGTGGAAATTTATACAACGCTAAATGTCGAAGGCGAGGTGAAACGGAGATAGGCGACGGAGAAAGAGGAGTTTTTGATCCCGGACAGGCGTGCGCGCACAGTCGACCGATTCCGGAGTTATCCGCGATCATCTATCTACATGAATGACGATGCACCTGCCCGCTCCTCGCTCGCCGGCCGCTGCGCCGCTGCGTTTATGACCCAGGGCGGATACGCGCGTGACAGAAAAGTATTTTTTTTACACGTTCCAGTGCGCGCGTACCGGCGAACGCGTCGCGTCAACGGATTACCGTTAACGATAAAGTAACGCTCTAATTGCCGACGATTCCATTAATCCTGACGGATGCGCGCCGCGCGTTGGATCGACTCCGATCGTCTTCCCTCGCGATTCCGCGACCGTTTTCAGAGATCGGTATTGTAGCAGAGGATCGACGACACGCGAGGGAAATTAAGAAAATGTTTGTACATTCGACGCGTCGAATGATCCGAGGATCACCGGCGAGTTCCGATCGAATCGAATTATTATGATTCAGGCGATTAAACGATTGCTCGGAGTTTTATATCGTAATTCTACTTGACGCGGCGAGATAAACGTTTCAGCGTTAACGGAAGCGACCAGGTCGATCGTTAACGGATCATTGTACGCGACGAAGCAATCTTTCCGTCGGTTGAGGATTCCGTTCACCTTCCGATGACACTTCGGCGGATTTACGGCGGTGTAATGAGCTATAGAGAAAGGATCGTTTGTAGAGTATTCTCGGGTTAATTGAACAGCAGTGTTACAGTTATTAGTGATGTTGACCGTCTAATATTGATACTGCAACGCTATTACTAGTATTTACCGGTATTAACCGTTAATATTAACTTTACTACTTGCCCAGTGCAAACATTGCATCATTACCAACACCGTCTATCATTAAGCAGTTGCTACTCAATCCAACGTTTCACGACCCTCGACAACTCTAAAACGAAACTTCTACTATTCTAAGCCTATCACCCAAATACATTCTTTCATTCCTATCGCAACGAAACGTCACGCGCCGAACAATAAACTCCAGTCCACTGGAAGATTCATTAACTTTGACTTGACCCGAGAAAGTGATAAAATCTCAAATTCAACATTAAATTTTCTGTAATGTTTCGACAGATGGAACGTCGAAATGAAACAGTGCTTTAATTTATGGAAGGTATATCTTTATGGTAGTTATAAAAATGTCATTGATATTTCATCGGAAAATAATGAATGCTCGTTCAGAGTACTCTCGAGTGCAGAGGGTTAAAGTCGATACAGTAGCCAACGGAAGGATCTCGACGCGCGTGCACAGCGAAACGGAGGAAATCGAGATCGACTGGTCCGAAAGGCGTCGCGATATCTGGGAAACCGAGCGGACCGATCGATCACCGAGGTTCCCGGCGAGGTGTGTTGTTCGAGGCACGGTTATTCGGTCGTTTCTCTTCAATTAACGCCGGCGAACGGTGGCTACACTCGGGTGCGAATACGCCCACTAAATCGTTTACACGCTCGATCTCGACGATCTTCGGATCGCGAGTCAAGGTTTTATGCAAATGTCCCGGCGCGCGGTGCGCGTCTCTGCGAATCGATAACGGCCGCCCAATAAAGTCGTCTTTCGCCGGGTCGCGCGCGCTGCCGGCACGGACTCTCGCGCTGTTCGCTCCGCGGAACCGATGTATCGAGCCGCGACACGCTTAACCCATTTGCATCGCAGCTCGAAATACGCCGCTTCGCGGATTCGAGACGTCCGACCGACAGCCGGCCCGTACCGCCTCGCGTCAACAGCGTTTTCACTTTCAATTTCACTTGGAAAGCACGTGTTTTAACGCTGGGTTCGCGGAACGCGTCGATTTGACGCAGATCGAATTTTAAACGTTATTCGGTAAATGTTCTAATCGGTTTTCGTTGATCCAATTACACGAATGTGAATCCTGATCGTCTATTTCTACATCTACGATTCCTAAAATCTAAATGAACGAATATCGACTTCCCCAGGAACAATAGAATGAACTGTACGATAAATGCCTGTAAACCTAGTGTTAACCCTTTGCACTCGACAATATTTTTCATGAAAAATATTCATCACTTTCTGACTAAATATCAACGATACTCTTCGCAACTGACACAACTGATTATCTATAAATTAAGAGATTGAACTATTTTACTTCGATGTGAAGTTGCTTAATTAATAGAAAATAGGGAAACTACGCGGCGATCGCTTGCTGTTCGAGTAATTAAATCATTTGAACTAAATGCGGACTTCCGAATATGAACGTTTCATCTCGTCGAAATGTCGACGTTCGTCCGCAAAGGGTTAATATTGAATTGAGAATTTTATAAATTTCCTGCGTCGAATCAGGTGGCGAATCGAGTGCAAAGGGTTAATTAAAACAAGCGATAGTAGTGTACAATGTACGGTGAACAAGCTTCGTAGTAGTTATCAGACTTTATTATTATTACGATAAACTTTTAAATAATAAAAGTATTAATTTAAATTCCGCGTCGCAGTTCGCCGTGTACCGATCATCTGTGCTATCATCTGTGTCCGACCATCTGCGGAATTTTCCGCTTAGATTCAAAAGATCAACACGTTGCATACTGGTAATGAGAAATCTAGTTTTTGTAGGAAAACGCTCAGCTATGTATCTTTGCTAATTGCCACATTCAGAAGCATTAGATTCGAACTGATCGTCTATCTGAACTATATTACATAACAGGCTGAGTTTCTGTATGTACAGTGATATACTTGATCTGACTGAAGATCATCCGGTTTCCTGAAAAATCGTTACGCAGTGCGTTAACACGTCGAACGTTCGATTTCACGGAGCAACGTACACAACGGGTCGATTAATCGAGAAGCACGCACTGACCCGTTGCTGTTCGAGTAACCGAGCGATTCGCTGGTGACTTAGAATTCTAAACGCGAAGGTTTCAGCTCGCGAGATGTCGGCGTTCGTCGGTAAAGGGTTGCCATTCGTAATTGTAATATTAATATTTCTCCGAGGTCGTTTCGCGAGAACGTTCCGTTGGCAACAGTTCGATTCGATCGCCGTTCGGCGCGAAGCTTCGGTAATACGTTTCGAAACGGTCGGGGATCGGTAGGATCGCGTTTACACGGGACGTAAATGTAACATTACGAATAATCACACTATGAACCGATAAAGTGGCCGAGCATCGCGGTAAAATTGAATATCGAGTCCGCGTCCGGATCGCGAAGGGTCGGAGCACGGTGCACGCTCGGTTAACGAAGACACCGGCGTATTCATATTTACATGCGCGTCCCATCTCGCCTCGTCTCGGCGCGCAGAGGCGACCGCGCGCCGTCTGCCGCAACACCTGCTGCCCGGGGATCGTGCTACCGATGCGATTAAATAATTTGTTCGCCCGTAATGGAGTAATAATTAAAAGATTTTAGTGCCGCCGGGAGACTCTCCGCCAGTCTCGTTAAAAGAGTCATTACGGTCGGTGGCCGAGCAGACGGAGTCCGAGTTGTTATCGGCGGCCCAGATTTCGGCCGAGGTCGCAGCCGCGTGACCGAATCGAAATTCGACAGAAAAACCTGAAACGTACGCGCCGGTGTCGAGTGTCGGCAGACGCGCCTGACAGCCGTGTTTCTTCGGCTATCCTCAGCGCGCGGCGAGCGGCGCGAGGAACGGTTCACCGGTAATCACGTGCAAATCGGAGGCGTGTCGGGAGCTCGAGTCGAACCGCAGAATTCTCTCGCCGACTAATGCGTTCACCGCGATTTTTAACACGTTTCCGAGAACCCGGTGGGCGTGACGTGCTTTTCAACGTTTTTCGTGAAACGCCGGGGCAACGCGACCGGCACCGCGCGCCGACCGCCGGCCGAGCATCGCGTGGAGGACATCGGTTCGACGTACCGTTGCGAGCGAGGATGCTGAGGATTGACTGGGAGAGGACTGCGAGCTCTTACCGTGATGCAGGGTTTATGGACTGTCGTTCTTCGGGTTAAGGAGAGCGAGCTTTGAAAGAGTTGAGATCGAGCTTCGGGGATTATAGTTTTGTGGAACTCTAGAGTTTTAGGATTCGAGCTGTCGGGCTGAACTTTGAAGCTTGGAGTTGTTGGTTTTTAAGGTTGAACCTTGAAGCTTAGGTACTCAGTGCTTAAGGTTGAACCTTGAAGCTTAGATACTCAGTGTTTAAGGTTGAACCTTGAGGCTTAAAATACTCAGTGCTTAAGTTTGAACTTTGAAGCTTAGATACTCAGTGCTTAAGGTTGAACCTTGAAGCTTCGAATAGTCAGACTTTAAGGTTGAACCTTGAGG